GGGGGGGGGGGGGGGGGCAAAAAGTGGGATAATGACCTTTGAAGGTTGCCAACATTAATGGCTAGTAACTTTACAATATCTTCAAGCTATGCATCCAGCATTCGGTTGTTGGTTGTCCTGGTTGGTTTAGCTAAGCCATATTACCATTACTACTGATTTGAAACATCTTATAAATGGTTTGGTAAAAGAAGGACGATTATATGATTACCTACTAGCTGTAGTAACTTATAGGGTCTCCCATTACGTGAAAGAGAAATATAATTGTTAAGGCAAGACTAATTTTAGTTCCACTTCTATTCAATAAGATGCCAACCACTTTTATGCTGATATTGGCTTAGAAACCATGATAAGTAATTTAATTTTACCAATGGGCAATCATGTTATAAAAGCCTTGTGAACAACCATCAAAATATGTATTATATATTGTTTGTTATCTATGAATGAGATTTTCTAAGCTCCAGAAGCCTAGACCACCTCTTGTCTATAGACGCAGCATTCTGTGCTCCAATATCTGCAATTAACATTTCTCTGTTAGTCCCAACTTCTGATTGCGTGTGAAAGCTTGAATGACATGAAGACCACTTACATTGCACTGAGGGTTGAGATTTCTCACACAACTCTGAGCAAGTGTCCTGGAAAATGCCTATATTGTTAAGTTCTTTCGTTTGATTCTTGTACTATTTAGATATGGTCATTGATAACTAGTCCTATTTACATTCAACTCTTACCTTTGTGGAGGTGGTAAGCCTAATTGTGTCACGTACCAATGAATCTAGATCAGCTTCAAGTCCGGGTTTAACGTAGATCACCTGTTAAATTTTAAGCAGGGTGCCAAAGCTCTTAGAGATTGAAGTGACGAAATGCAAAAACTTCAGAAACTTACCGATGGATCATCGCCTCCAATTTCTGGAAGAGTAGTCTCCCGTTTGGCTCTGTTTGATGATAGAACAAGTACATTAAAATTTGCATTGATCTGTTGGATTAAAATGATTTTAGGTGTTAGAACCTCGGTTGGGATGCTGCTGAATTGAACCCTCATGAATAGATGAGATAGAGATGACAAGGAAATTGTGAAGATTACTATACTTTTTAATCTAATAGCTGCCATCATTGTCTGCAAATTGCATATTCAAGAAAGTTGTGGAAGTAGAACTATACGTTATGTGATATTATCGTTTGTTTGATTGTTTTAACAAAGCTACCTCTCTGCAGTATGGTGAAGAACAGGTACAGCACTTTCGAGTGAAGGATGTGTTGATCTTTCCATCCACGGTAAACCCGAAACTTGCGTGCTGGTAAATAAATGGAATGTTAGTATTCTAGCAATCTGATAGAGCATTTTGTGTAGGATTTTCTCATTTTGGCTGTTTGGATTTCTTAAATTGATTCAAAAAGTATTGTTCAATCTCCATTCTCTTTGAGCTCATTAATGGGTTCTTCAGCATGTACATCTTCAAAAACAAAAATATAAACAATAATAATGGAAGAAAAAAGAAAAAGGGAAAAGGAAAGGAAAAATCTTTTTAACAAATATTGTTCTTTTTAGGCTTTCCTTTTCAGACTTCCTCTCAAAGTTTTTAAAACACAACTGTTAGGAAGAAGTTTCTACACTCTTATAAAAAATGTTTTGTTCTCCTCCCCAATCGATGTGGGACCCCCACCCAACCACCCCATTCGGGGCTCAACATCTTCGTTGGTATTTGTTTCCTTCTCCAATTGATGTGGGACCTCCCAATCCATACCCCTTCGGTGTCCAACGTCCTTGTTAGTACACTGCTTCGTGTCCACCCTCCTTTAGGGCTCAGCCTTCTCGCTGGTACATCGTCCAGTGTCTAGCTTTGATACCATTTGTAACAGCTTAAACCCACCGATATCAAATATTATTCTCTTTGGGCTTTCCCTTTCGAACTTCTCCTCAAACTTTTGAAAACGCTTCGGTTAGGGAGAGATTTTCACACCGTTACAAAGAATGTTCCATTCTCCTCCTCAATCAAGGTGGGATCTTACGTTACCACTTTCCTTTGTATAGAAAAGTCATTTTTCTCTCTCCTAACACACTCGTACCTAAACAAAAGTCTCAATCTCTTTCTAAACAAGGCCCTTCCCGTCTCCAACAATAGTTCACTCTGAGATGTTATGGGCGTTGGAAGATTCAAGTTTGTGTTCATCAAGCAGAAGATAAAAGTAGATAACGAACAATTCTCTTTTAGAAAACTATCAACCAGGCATAGGTTCACTAAATTTTTTTATAAACAACTTGAAATAGATTTTTGGAGAATAAGTAATGGAATTACCTTCTCAATACAGAGATTGATGAAAACGTGTGCGTTTTTGTGTTCATCTTCTACTAAGTCTTCTAAGTTGAAGTCTTGCAGGGAAAGCAGGTAATCACAGCTCCATTTCCCCTGCCACATGCTTCCTGCTGTTGATATTGTGATCAGACGCCGTGGAGGTTTGCTGCTTCTTCTCTTCATTAAAACAAAATGTCTTGAGATGGAAAGGAACTGTATGAAGAAATATACTTTCTAGAGACACTAATAGATCACTCCAAGTTTTCCTTTCCATCAAAAAGGAAATTGTGTGAAAAGAGAAACTGTTCAGATTAAGAAGAGTGTTCGAAAATGGATATCTGCAGAAATCTGAAAGATGAAAAAGGAGAATCTGCTTACCAAGGAGATATCATTTCTCTTTGAAGAAGCTTTGATTTTGAATGTTTGAGTTGCAAATTTGGGTGCAGCAGTCTTATTGAATGAACTTGAAATGGAGTTGACATTTCCAGCTGCTACAAGGTGCCCAGCTTCTGCCATTTCTCTGTAAGAGACGATAATGCGTGGAGAAAGCAGGAAGTTGGAATTGGAACCTTATCTGCACAAAATATAAGGCCCCAATTCCTTCTTGGAAATGTCTTCATTTTGATCTGTGTTAAGCTATTTATCTCAATACCTCTTTGGCTGCTGTAAATTTTATGGTCCATAATTTGTGTGCCAACTCTTCTAATTTTGCATTTTAACGATTTTCGTTTAAGACTTGATAGCTACGGATCTGAGCGTAACTTAAATGGTTAAAATACATCCCTTTAATCAATAAATTATGGTTTTTGATTTTTCACTTTACCCGTGTTGAACTAATACGGTTTAAATGGACATATCTTAAGCTTTACGAAATTTTACAACTAAATTTTTTGTTTCATCTATCAATCTTAAGTATGAATAAAAAACCTTTTTTTCAGGATACATGTATACGAAACTAAAATTAATAATCACGATTCGACAGTGTTTATGAACTTTGTGAACCATGTAAGTACGTTCTTTACCGAATTTTGATGAGTTTTCATGATTTATGGTCAATGAGCTACCTTGAATAGTTGGTAGCAACTCCATTTTGACATTTGAACAAAACATCAGGATCCTGTCATTGCAATAATTAGCAGTTTATAGCTACACAAACTTCCATCATTACACTGAGAATTTCTCACTTCTATAAGATTTTCCATAATTTCCTTCTTCAACCTATTCACCTTGTACTGGATGTACTGAATTCGAAGGCCTGTTAGCCATGAGTTCCAGATAACGATTCCAAAAATAGCAAAGAAACCAGAAAGAGGTACCCAAAAATGCAGTTCATGATCATTATATTGGTCAAATATGGGATACAGTGGTTACCATTACACTACTTTTGTTTACTTCTCGTGTCTTTTTTTTGAGCTCCGAAAGATCGGCAAGTGTCGGGAGAAAGAAACCGATGGGCAACCAAAGAAGCGGAGAAGATTTTGGCAATCCTTCTCTCCATCATCACCCTGTGAACTTACGTGACTCAAATAAGTTTTTCCTTCGTAGATATACCATAGCTGTTGGCATAGAAGTACGATCAATCCAATTTGAAGTGAGAAGCTTGAGATAAAGAGATAAATAAGGATGAACCCTCTGATAGACAGTAGCGTTGTGGATCTCAGAACAGCATGAATGATATCCTTTGAAAGACTCCAACCGAACTTGCTTCCAGAACCATTCAGGCGACCCAACTCGTGGACCGATAACGGTGGCCATATATGCCAAAGCGAGTATACAGCCATGATCGAAATATAAATTGTACTCACAATAGCTGAAATAAGGAACATAATGAAGTGTTTATGATTTCCTGCACCAACACAGTTCCCTATCTGCACCCCCAAAAGAATTATGATCAGAATGCTAGAGAAGCCTTGGTCATAAGGAATGAACCATTCGCTTATCAACAGGGACTTCTCTAAAGCCGAAATTACCAGCTTGAAAATAAATACAAAAACAGAAAACTAGATGCCAACCAGGATCCATAGTAATGGTCCAAAAGGTAACAGACATTCTACTAAAAGTATCAAATGTGTTGAGGCATAGAGGGTTGGGGAGGGTCCATATGTCCACAGTTAACACGTTGTTTCTATCTCACTCTGTCACAATCATTTTTTCCTTGTTAATATTGGTGAGTGTCAAGGCCCACTTGCAGACACTTCGACTATTCTCATGGAATAACCACTTAACCCGACTAGATTTGGTTTGTCAAGTTAACTCATCAGACATTAGATCTCAGGTGACAACTATGACTTGGAACTCATTCCTTTCATGTCTTTTATTTGTTTATATGGCGCTCATTGATCACTAGATAAACCCAAGGTGGTTCACTCAATGACAATCTTTTACGCTAAATCAAATGTTAGACTTGTCGGTTCCAAAGCAATCTTGATTTAGTACCAGCTATTGCTATAAAATTCTACAACGTGATTAGAAATGCTGACTGTCAGAATGAATTTGTCAAGACCAAACGGCAAAGAGAATACCAAAGCTCCTAGCTGCAGTAATTCATTAGTCATTAAAGGATCACCTGCCACATCAACAACCCTCCAGTCTACCCTGCTTATGAAGCGTTGATTATTACGAAAGCATATAAAATCGTCCAAGGCATTGATAAATTGTTACTTGGAATTAACCACTCTACTCCTTTAGTAGTTCTCTCGGGGAAAGTAGATAGTTTTTTTTTTTTTTTTTTTTATAATCTCCCCGGCCTTCCGAGTTATGGTTAAGCCTAGTCCCTATTACTGTAAGCAACCCAATTATTTCTTTCTAAATCCCAATTCATGAAAAGATCATATTTCTTTACACCTACGGCATTTCAAGTATCAGCAAGTTTTAAGCAGTGATCTATCTTGTGCATTACAGACATAGAGTAAAAGAAATTGTTCCTTATTTGAGAAGATCTCTGAAAGAATAACTTACAAATGGGCAATGGTGGTCCATGTCCAAAACACACATACCACAGGAGCGGCAATGATGAGTTCTACGTGACTTCGGCTTCGAGCAGTAGTTACAGAAGGTATAGTTTTCAAGGTCACCCTTCTCTACAAGTGGATAGCTGCCCCATATGACATTTGGAGGTGTTCCGGGAGATCTAAATGCAGCGAGACTGAACAAAGAAAGGGTGGCTACAGCCAAAACAATGGTCACAGTGGAGTGGAAAATTCCACAAAATAGGCTGACTGAGAAAACAATAGGATATACGGCCCATACACCACCACCTGCACTTCAAAGAAAATCCATGGAAGGTCAGAACACCATGACATCTATGGATTATCATATCAACTGCAAGGAAATGATTATAAAATAGTGGGTACAGAGAAATATAGAAATTGTATCCCACTAACAATAATTAAAATTGTTTTGTTCCAAAAATGTTAGCAACCAGAGAATGGGATCTATTTCGACAAACATTAATCAGTACATAAAACAAAAGGCAGAGAAGCCTCTTACATATCACAAAAAGTATGAATAGAAGTAGGACACAAACAAAACCCCGGTCTCGCAACCACCTCCACTTTAAGGACTTGTCCTTTTGCTTCTGTGCAGTTTGAAGTGTTATGGCTCCACACCAACCACACTTGAAAGTAGATGCACCTGATGGGAGCAAGAGGCGCAGCCCACAACCCCAACAAGTTGATTCTCTATCCTCTGCCAACGATGCTATGATATGTTCCTGTACATGCCAAAATCATGAGAAAAAGGATATGAAGCTTTTAATGTTGCCAACAAGCAAAATAATGAAAGTTTTCAAAAGATTTAATTGCTGCCAATCCAGAAAAATCTGAGCTTGTCATACCACTAGCAAGCTACCACTTCTTTAAATGAAACAGACAACTTGTATTAATGTGAGGACACTAAAATGAAAATGAGGGGAAAAATAACAACTAACTAGACAGCCGATAAGCGATTAAGGATGTTGCTGTAGATAGAAATTCTCCTAGCTGCGGGTTTTCATCTCCATCATTTTGGCATGATTTATTCATAAATTTCGTAAGAAACATAGATATAGATATTCATTATCACGAAAATTCTAAACAAAGCAGATAAGAATCCATACAGAGAGCCAAAAGGACGCCATACAACAACTATCGTATCTTTCTGGGATAGCAATTATCTATCATGGTTCTGTGGAAATTGCTAGGCTAACATGAGTTTATCTACTCATCATGTTTACAGAAATATCCATATTTGTTTAATCGCTGCAATTTCCACATAACCGAAATCTCGTTAAAGTTTCTACCTACCTGCATATCAAAACAATCCGGTGATGATATGGGTGCAGTTTTTCCCTGCTGGGTTAGCTGATCATACTGTACATAATTTTATCTCTTTTCATTTCCATCAACTCTTCCAACTCACACGAACAGATATACAAGCCGTTGAATATTACCACAAACAATCGTGAAAGTTCTAAAAAAATTTACAGAAAAACAGCTTTTCCCATTCTCCGAGTAACGTTTACAGATGGAATCCGACTCTAAACTCGAGCAATAATCCCAAATTAATAACAATAGAACTACATGAGCAAAGATTATGATGCATGACTGCACCATAATGAAATTAAATCCAACTGGGTAACGATCAAATGAAATCCAGATGGGGAAACAAAAGGATTAGAAAAAAAAAAATATTGCATCAGAATCAAAACCCAAATAAACCCACAAAAAAGCAAGTAAAAGTCCATAAATGAAATCAACCAATGACAGAGAACTGACCGTGGGAAGGTCATCCTCAGCCATTCTCTCGAGCTTTATTGTAGGAGCTGCCGTAATCGTACCAAACAATCCTAAACTCAAGAGGGGTTGATTTGAGAACCAATCGTTGTCGCACAGTATGATGTTCTTGAGCTGCAGGCAATCGAAGAACCAAAATCTTAAGCAGACCCACCAAGAACTTGATGGTCAGCGGCAAGAGAAATCGCTTTGACCTGCTCAACGGTTTGGTTCTTCCGTTTGTGCTGAATCGAATTGAATCGAGCAGAATCGAGAGCTCTGTATTGAAAAAAGTATTTGATAATTTGTACGTATAAAAATGAAAATTTGAAAATACGTTTGAACGGCACATCCCATTCATCTTCCCATCTTTAGAAACAAATCTAGATCACCGCCCAAGGCAATTAAATCAACCGTTTTGGTCTTTAGGTTAAAATCTTGATGAACAGATGAATTATATCTTGATATTGATTTAGGGTATATTTGGATTGCTTTTTACGTATTTAATTTTTTTAAAAAAAATCATACAGTAATTCAAAATTAGTGAGAAAAAAAAAATATTTTTTTAGTGTTTAATTGAAAATTTTTAAATTTGATATATGAAAACAACCAAAATATTCGCCCACTCGCGGCCGACGACCACCATCGTTGTTTAATGTTGACAACGGCCAAATTCGGTTGATGTTTACCAACAACCACTACTACTTCACACCGTTGTTGTTACCACTGCTGGACGACCATTTCGTTGACTATCTCTAATGGTCAAACGATCCTAACATTTTAAATATAAATTTGAAGTTATTAGTTTATAATGTTTAGGGAGGCATTCGTACCATATCAATTTTTCTTTATGTTTATTTAAATTCCCTTTTAACATACCAATTTATTATTCTATCCCTTATTATTTTCTTAATCGAATACTTGAGGGAATTAATTCCTTTTATACCAATTTCCCTTTTCCGAAAAACATTCTATTTTTTTTAATTATATATCGTATTATCTTACAAAAATTAAATTTAATGTTTA